ACATTCGTTTCATTGGAAATTGGCGCAGTATCAAATTTCTCATTCGCGAAATAAACGATTCCCTCTTTCAAGTCAACGGTTATAATCGCGATAATTTTCACGAATTTACAATCTCGCGAAGTGAATGTAAACCAGAAAGCATTAGAATTAGAATATAAATCTCATTCGTAAAAGTGTAAAATTAATAGAAATAAAATACTCGTTTTAATTAAAAGTCGTGCGCAAATTCAAATCTATCGCTTTCAAATTCCCTTGACGTTTCGTCGGGAGAACATAAATAATTGTCATTTCGGAAACGATGACAACGCGTCAATCCGACGAGCTTGACGATCGCGGCGGATGCAGTTCGCATTGACGACGTTCCGCGGCAACACAGGTGTCGTCGTCTGATCACGCATGACGAAGTAACGGCCGTGAATTGTCGCAGCTCGGAGTTATGCAAATACCGGACGCGTATAATTTGCACGGTAGATGTCATCTCCTAACCACACGAGATCGATACACACTGCTTTACATTATTGCCGAGGCGCACTGTGCGCAAGCATAATGGCCGTTAGCATATTACTCGCGTTACGACCTTATGAAATAAGCCGGGGAGCCCTTTAAAATTTTTACTCATCTCCCGCCGGTCTCGCCGTTTCACTTGTCCTTTCCCCTTCTTCACCTTCCCATGACAGTGAGATAAAAAATTTACGTACCTCGTAACGCAGTTTTATACGAGAGCACGATGTAAAAGCAATACGGCATTAACGCTTCAGAGTCACAACGCCACCGGCTGACTTTAACACACACACACACACACACACACACACATACACAAGTCGGTTTGCACAGGAATAAATTAATAAATTCTGCTCACTTAATATTCCTATCGCGAGTGGATATTAGCTCGAGTCGAAACTCAACGAGCGGGCTTTTCATCGAGTTTCGGAAATATATGAAGCGGAATTATAGACTTCTATTCCACAGTTGAGCATTGACTCAAAGGATTTAGCATACAATTGGCAGGTGGAAGTAATTAAAGACCGCTAATTGATTAATCACGCGGTTTAGTGTGCGTGCAAAACGCACGATTGACGAGGAAATGATCGTAATGAATCAACTGCAACAGTTGTGGGTGTAACCAAATGTCAGCAATGACGATCACTCTATATCCGTACCCTTTAATGACGTACAACGTCAAAATCGAACGGTGGCGAAAATCAACCGCGGTGTTCAGGCCTGACCTGATTTTCGCTGTGAGCGCGAAACGATGTAAACGTGATGCTGTAAAGTGCCGAAACGAGACGCCTCCCGTGCAATTCACGTGCAGAAAAGCATCTTGTTAACTTAAAATCAATACGATGCGCGATAATATTGCCGATCACGTCACAATTATTATAAACATTCGATAGCTATCTTTAATTGTTTCCTGAGATTTGCAGACGTCAACACAAATGAGAGTTAATTTGCTTCTGAAAGTGACTTAATTTATTTAACATGTTTGTAAAAGGATCTAAAAGAATCATAATTATTAAGAGACCTGACTTCAAAAGAGAAAAATGTAGATTCAAAGGTATTAAAGTTGAAAATATAATTTGTCTTACATTACTATTTTAATATTATCTTAAATTATTACTTTAATTATTCATTAAAGGAAAATAACGTGTATTTCTTTTGCAAAATATTAATTTTAATATAATTTTACTTAACTTGATTATGATATATTTATTAAATGATAATAATATTATCTCCTTTTCTGAGAAATATAAACGTGCTAAATTCGTGTAGCAAGGAGGATATATTTTCAATTAAAAATGTTGTGGCTATTGACGTCAACAAAGACGGATACAAAGGAACGTCGCATCTGGTAAATCAATACAGTACCATTTTTGCAAACAATTCCGTTCTCAGGAAACATCTGATACATCTAACTGTTGAAACCTGATGGTTAACAAAAAGTCGTTTATACATAAATATAATTAATTGAATTAATATATATGTATAAATAATTAATTGAATTAATTGAATTAATATATATGTATAAATAATTAAAATCTATGGTAGACTTGATTTAAACATAAATATAACACAACTATCGCTGAATATTTATATATCCAATTAATGCCTGTCCAACATATATATATTCATAGTTGACAGGATTAATAATTCTATGAAATTTCTCGTGCGAGATTTATAAATCTTGTTTGGATAAAAAAATGTTTTTTTATCCAAACAAGAGAAATATGCGATATTTTCATGATGATAAAAAAATGTTAAAATCATATAAATTTTCAAAGTATAGATAAAAATCGAGAGATGCCCAAAATTTAATTTTCGCTTGAGCTTGTGACGCTCAAAAAATTAATTTCGCACACGTTTTAAGGTTACTCTATCTTGTTTCTGCAGGTTTATTAGCTCCGAGGCGAGATGTTAAATATTATCAAACGCTTACGTCGGGGATGATCATCAAACGAAAGATTAATAATCTCATCTCCTCGGATCAATAATACCGCAACGCGTCCGACCTACCGCACACGATGACATCCGCTTCCGCAAACCTCTCGACGTAGAAACATCGTCTGAACGGTGTAACTTCCAGTATCGACTCTGACTTATTGATTTCGTGCGCATCGGTGTATTTATACAACGTCATCCGTACCTTGATGCGTTCTATTGAAAACGGATATAGCCGATGGTTAACGGGGATTTTTAAAAATTTTAATACACAAATTTAAACACACTCGAGGTAAATAGTGTTAAGCAAATTCAGAGAAAATTAATTAAAATAAATAAAAATTGTTATTAAAGTGTTAGGTATATTTTTAAAACGTCCTATAATTGAATTTTATTTTGCAGTCATTGCAAAACACGATTTTCACGATATTTATTTTATTTTATTTTCACGATAATTAATTTCTATACTAGGATACATTCTTTCATTGCGCGTAACAGTAGTTGTCAGCGATTTAACGGTCGTTAATGATCTTCAAAATCTCGGAGCGTTAAAATCGCGTTGAATTCGCCGCCAACGATTCCACGAAAGCGCGATTTTATTTTTGCCTTACTGCTCTCAAGCACGGATGTCCAGGAAATTGTTTCTCCCTCGAGGAGAAATGGGAGCTAATTCCCGTAGACTCTTTCCAACAATTTCACCTCGCGAGAGAGAAATGCGAGCGCCGGAAATGTGAAAATTGGTCGAAACTTTAATTCCACTTCTCGCGCGGCGCTCTCCGCGATCGGATCATGAAACGATCATGAAGGGGGTGGAGGGGTGGCCACTGAGAGAGGGATTGTAATCGCGTAATTCGCCGCGGGGTAACATCCGAAGTATCCCGCGACACTCGGTCGTCGCGAGTGGATCAACGACACTACGGATCAAGGAGACACATCGCCGGAGACGCGCGCACGGAGACAATGCACACACTTCTCGAAAAGCGACTCTCGACGAGCTTTCCCGACCGTGGCACGAGGAGTGCGGGATTCAAGGTGGCTCAGCTGCGGAAATCCGACGGCTGACTGGAGGATTCGCAGACGCGCGTCCTTTAATTTAGAAACGCGAGGCGCCCTCGACCTCGCACGCTGCATGCGGCTCGTTCGTGCCAGTAGAAATTCGTCTATCACACGTACATGTGTGTCTGTGTGTCCTGCATGTGCCTCACGATCTGTGTAGACCCGAGGCAAAAGTCTTTCGTGTCGGATGTGACACTCAGAAGTGTCGTCGGTCGTCACTGCACTGTAATGCCACCAGCTAATTGGTGGGAAGCTCTACGCCTCCGTTCCCTTACGGGGAAGGCCCGTAGATTTAGAGAAGCATCGATGGTTCGCCTACCTACTGTACGAGGTAAACGCGGTTTTGTGGTCTTCAAGGAAGGAAACGATGCAAGCCTCCACCACGAAACCGCTAACGACGGTGACCAAACCGTTATCGCATCGCAATTAACTGGGCAATCACCATAATCGAACTATGAACCATTAGCTTCGTGTCACTTCACTCATAAATTCCAAGAATGTTAACTTTGTCATAATTGATTTTATGAGATTGTTTTGGTA